GGAGGGAATTTCACCATATATCTGTGTATATTTGTTTGTATCTCTCAAGAATAAGAAGAGAAAATGACTGTGCTGTGTCAGGCCAGAGATGCTGGCCTGGCAACCTGTGTGTGAACATAACTGACAGTGGATGCCTAAGGAGAAATAAAAGAAACAGGAAATATGTAGACTAAATCTGGCAAGCTGTTTTGGGATTTGGTAATTAGTAACTGAGGGATCTATGGTATCCAGACCACACTATCTGCAAGTCAGTAGTGTTTAATGCTCTGTATCTGTAGTTTATCAGTATTTGCCAGTGCAAGGTCTTGGGAACTGCAACCAAATAAACAAACCTTCAAACCTTGCATCTTAGGGTGGTTTGTATTCATTATCACACCACTGTTGAGATACAGCTCCCTTGGTAGGAATGCTCAAATATCCTTCTGACTGGGGCTCCCATTTGTAACCAATAACCTGACAAAGGCCCTCCACTACAGGAGACTGACACCACGTATTCAACGAATGCTGGCCACCTGACCACCTCAGTCCTGGAGGAGAATACCAAATACCTGTGGGCTTCAACAACTTCCCAGTGCAGTTAGTTTAAATAAATTCCCAGCTTTTTCTTTGCCATAATTAAAAAGTGACAGCAGGTTCCTGTACTCCTGGTGGAAATTTGTAAATTGACAGAATTGCACAGACTAGTAGGCTTTAAACAGGATAGTACTAACATTATGACTCTATTTTTTTTAAAAAGAGACTTTCTATGTAAAAGCTGCAGAGGCATGACACTGTTGCCCTAGCAGGTTGCCTCCTTTCAGGTGTTACCTATTGTCTCAGGTCTTACTTTGATGGGACTGTAGGAGTCTGTTTGTGGTATTCGTTAATTCATTTAAATTTCAATCACTTTCTTTATGATTTATAAATAATACAGAAAGTATTTCCAGAAATTAAAGCTGATTTTTTTTTTCTTTTCCAGCGTGAAAGAATCCACTAAGCAGGGAAAGTAATTTTTTTAATGCCAAAATCAACTTATCAATGGTATCTTGAGGGATAATAGAGAAGAGCATTAGGGATGAAAGCATCACTGTGGAATTCTCTTTATGTGTTCCCTCCAATGTTTTGTTCCTAACCCAGCTCAGAGTCTGAGATCTGAAAACTAAAGGTGTTCCATTGTAGATACATCAACATGGTTATTGAAGGATATGCCATCTTTTGTTTTGTTGTTTGTTTTTTTTTCCCCCCTCTGTGTCCAGAGGTGTAAAAAATGAGCTTTTCACCTTGCTTTGTGTATTGGTATGCACATGTACTCATAAAGCCCAGAGAAGTACAGTATTAAAAATCACATCTCTGCCTGTGTATTCAGTAGAATGCTAGCAGAAAAAAGATGTTTTGTTTATCATGTCCTTGGTGCTGAACTCTGAAAGTCTTCATCTCATTTAAGGCATAGCAACATAATGTGTTTACTAATGGCATGTGGGAAACAGCAGGAACTGGCTGGTAGTTCAGAGCTGTCAGGCTGTGTGGAGGTTTTGGAGTGAGCTGCTTTGCATAGGTTTTTGGGGCACTACTGAGAGCCTGTAGTGCTGTTTGGATTGGGACAAGCACCCTTGGCACCTAGGACACACTTGCACTGTCTGGGCATGGTTTGTGACTGCTCTGAGAGTAATGAGAGGCTTTTCTTCTAGTGGGCATTTGGTGGCCATCACATTAGATATTACTCAAACATTTTTGACTCCTTAATAACTACAAATGCATTTCGATCTTCCAATTGCAGGCATCACCTGTATTTTGTCCCCCAATATGCTGTTTTCCTACTTCCTACCTCTGTGGTATTTTAACTATTTTATGAATTTGGTGCCCACAGCTGCAAACTCAGAGCCTGTTCAATGATTAAAGCATCAGGGGTTCAAATATCATTGGGCAGGATGGCTTCCAGTGCTGCTAACACTACATCCGTTGGTTGCAACAGATGAATATCCACAAGTTGTAAATGGGGAAATGGAGGAAAAGGGACTCGCCAACATTGGCTGGAAAACCCTATGTTCAGAGTCCCATGGCAGTGATTTTTCTTTTAATCTATATTTCCTTTTCCCTCCACTATTCCAATACACCATAGAGATATTTTTCAAAGCTTTAATTCAAGTTCTACCAAAAAATTATTCTTACAGCATACATTGGATTACATCCCCGGATGTAGAGTAGAACGATGAATTCCAAGTTATACACCTTTTGCTTGGAATTTGTTTATGAATTTGGGTAAAATGATTGTCATTTGTTTACTCACTGTCTTGTCTGAAGGAGAAAACACCCGGTTTGTGTTTATAGGCTCATTGGTTTTGAGTCATCACTGTTTAACTCACCTTGCAGGCTGCTAATGCATTGAAATAATGAGGAGGTATGGTAAAAGGAATTTGCCACGTGTCTCACAGGGAATGCAGTAATCGACTTTGTCCTACAAGATGCTGAGCTCTCCTTAGGAAGTGCTAACAGCACACTTATCTCCCCATACCTTGCATGCACTCAGGAATGTGTTCTACCTAAAGCAAAGCATTGAGCTTGTTGATCTCGTGTATGTTTGTCTGCATAGGATTAAGTGTTGCTATCGGGGCCTTCTCACTGCTGATTTAATTAGGTCTCACAGCAAGGATGCTTTGATTAAAAAACACCTTTCAGCTATTTGGCTTGGAAACTGATACCAAAAACCTATGTGATTCTGCATGGAGCCAAAGGTGCTTCTGCAAGGAAGGCTAGCAAATATAAATCCTTGACAATTTTTGCATTAACAACTTGAAACTAATAGATTTATGGTGATTTAAAAAACTTCTCATTCAAACTTAAACTGTGAAATTTAGCATCCTGTCCAGATTAGCATTCCTAGAAATTCCTGTAGTTTCAGAATCTCTTCTTCAAAGAACAGGTAGTGACTTTTCCTCAAAAGACTTCTGTGCCCTATTTTGAAGTGATGTTGTTGTGGGATTCCCAATGATTTCTTCATCCGGAGCAGTGGAATTGAGTGTCATCTTTCACCTGTGTTACTTGTCCTGCATTAGTGACGTTCCTTAGAACTTGTTGCAACTCTTGTGAGTTTTCCACATTGACTTTGGAGGTCTCTGGGTCTCAATTAGCAGTTGTATTTTTCAAGAGCTCTCACTGAAGTGCTTTTCTGTGCAAAACTGGGGTTGCCTGTTTGAGCAGGGAGCGGTGAGCTTCTGTACTGAGGAATGGACTATCCTTCAAAATGGTAGATCTGATCCAGCTCTTGGTTTTGTTTATGGTTGTTTCCCTATTGCTTCCTCAGAGCAAGTGAAATTCCTTATTTTTCTGCTCATATCCCTGCCATAAATGTGAATGTTCATCCCTTTCTTTTCTACTCAATCTAACCAGCAACTTTGCTTTCTCTGTCTGCTTCTGGATTCTGTGGTAGTTCTCAGTGACCCCATGACAAGATATTAATTTCTGTTCCGAAGGCACAGTCAAACTAGGCAGAAGAACAAGTTGGCTGAAGTTCAGAAAAAGTAAGTTGAAGGAAACGAAAGGGTGTCGTCAGGCCAAGTTAAGCTCTGAATTTCAGCAGTTTGAAACCTGCTTAGTCTGGGAAATCTGCTGTGAGTTTTCAATGCCCAAGTAATATCTCTTGAATGAAGGTGATCTAAACTAGGATGAGTGGGTTTTACTGTTGGTCCATCTGCTTATTTCAAAGTTTTCAGTTCTGGTGATATTTACTTAGTGTTAGCCAAATTATTGCCTGAAGTACTTCTGTTTTTTGTAGCAGGATGTACTTATGGATGTATCAGGACTTAAAACTGCTGTTGTGTTTCCATAGCAGTAGTGAACTTCCACTTAGAGTGACATGTTTAGTGGCTGAAGTGGAACCTCTTGATGTTTTGATGTGCTGGTTTAAAGGTAAACCAGCAGGGGAAATGAACTCAACTCAAAAGAGAGATTATAAATCAGAATAACAATTTAATAAAATAATACAATAAGTACGGTTATACAGACAAACAGTTGGTTTTAACCCACAAAACCCAAATGTATAACCCAGCACCCTGGGGCATGAACAGAGTGGTGTTCTTTGGGCCCCCTGAGTCCAAAGTAAAAGGAGAGGGGAAAACCTGTTGGTGAGAGTGCTGTTGCAGTCTGGTCAAGAGTGGTGATTGCAGTCCGGTCGAGAGTGGTGGTCTGCAGTCTTCCTCTGGATCCCACGAGTGTTTTCCAAAGTTCCAAGACTCCAAGATTATATATTCTCCAGTTCAGGCAGGAATGCTCAGTACTTCCCTCAGGGAGGGGAGTTCCACAAAAGAGTGTGAGGACATGGGAGGCACCCTCCTATCTCACAGGCCTCTTAACACCTAGTTTATAGCCTGAGGAGTCAGGCTGCTCTGGGCAGAAGGTGTAAGTAGTCTATTGATACCAGTTTCTGGGAAATGGCATGGAAGGCTATAGAATACACAGTTTTGGGTTACACCCATACAGTGATGAACTGGTCCCAGCTGTTCTAACTAGGACATTTGATCTTGTCTATTGTGTCTCCTTGACCACTGACAGCACTTTTGACTGGGATTAGAACTACCAGTCCCATGTTATAGGTAGAGAAACTAAGAAACAATGGAAAAATGATTGCCCAACACTGCTCTCATTAGAAAAGAGATGATGCTGTGGTCCCCTTTCTGTTCTTTCCTTCCACAGCTCTCCTTTCTTCTCACTCCCTGGAGCTTCACATCCTTGTTAGCTCCTGCTATGTCCTTTTATTCTGCCTTAGGTAAACCAGATGCTCTCTACCAAACATTAGTTACCAAATATCCTGTTGTGCAGTAGAAGGAGAAATAATAGACTGAGGTGATATACCCATGAGATGTTTCACCATCAGGGTAACAATGCAATGTGGAGTAAGTTGAGTTCAGTTTGTGTGCCTTGTGAGTAACATCCATAATAAAAATATCAGGGCTGGACATTCAGGGTCTTAAAAGGAGACAAGTGTGATTAATGCTTGCTGTGGTTTCCCTTTTCGTATCTTGCAGGACAGTTTTGCTGTGGATTCTTTGTGATCCTGATCCTGGGCAACTTCTGGTTCCTTGCTGTTCTGTATCTGCTGTGGCTCTACCTCGACTGGGAAACACCATGTGCTGGAGGCAGACGGTCCCAATGGGTCAGAAGCTGGACTGTTTGGAAGTACTTTAGGGAATACTTTCCCATTCATGTGAGTAAGAGGTTTCTCACAGAACTGTAAACATTGGAACAGAGGCAGCTTGAATAGCCATGAGCATGGACAACTGTCTAAGACTCATCTTTGGTAAAAATATAATACTCCAGGGTGAACTTAACTTCTTTTTAGAACATGGGAAATCTGAGATATAGTGACAAAAAGGGACAGGGCCCGGTTTTCTGCTTGGACTGTTGGGTCACCAGGTAGTGCCTCAGCACAGTAAATGCTAGACATGATATCTTGAGACACGTCTATTTAAACTCCGTTCATCTGTAAAATGGGACAATAGTTTAAAGTGCTCAGAAGAGATGAATTGTCATCGGTTCTGTGTCCTGTCAATGTGCAATCTCCGTACTTGTTGTTTTTGAGGTAAGTATTATAATGTCCTCCACTGACTCTATTTTTCAGCTTATAAAAACTTCAGATCTGAACCCAAATCACAACTACTTACTTGGCTTTCACCCTCATGGGGTCCTGGTAGCTGGAGCCTTCGGAAACTTTTGCACCGGTACAAGTTTCAAAAATTTATTTCCTGGGCTTACTCCATATCTTCATATCATGCCCATCTGGTTTGGCTGTCCCTTCTTCAGAGAATACGTAATGAGTGCTGGTAGGTAAAAGCAGAATGTCTCAGCTGTTCCTCCATATTGTAGCTTCTGCTTCAAATGTAGGGTCTATTCCTCTACTTATAAAGGTAAGTAATTTCACTTCAGGAGGATCAGTGTTGATGCTAAATTTAACCTGTATTTTATGATGAAATTTAACAAAACAATTTGGAAGGTTTTAGTAATAGTTTTGTTAAATTATACCACTGAGCTTTTTTTTCCTTTCTGAAAAAAAATTGCTGGTTATCTCTTGAACTGTGAGACAGCAGTACTGAGTACTCATTTTATGCAAGAAGAGAAGGGCATAATCATTTATAATGTTATTTAGTCATGGAGCAGGCACTTGTGAAACAAATTCAGGCTAATCTCTTACCTGAGGGAGCTTAAAGTTTTACTCATTACAAATATCTTTCTAGTCAGATCTTAATTACTTGCTTCTGACTGAGGTCCCATATTGCAAATTTGTGTACTTTTAATTGAGATGTAAACTCTAAAAACAGGATCCTTTTTTCTCTGTTCCTAGCAGCACTTGTCATAAAGGGGTGATATTCATGACTGGTACTGCAGTAATAAAAAATAAGCAATAAAGTTGGGGGAAGAGTAGAATGAGTCATGAAATCAGGACTAGCATTCCCCCACAGTGGTTTAATACAGGAGTTATTTTACTTAAATTCACTCAACTAGAGTATTTGAGTATGGTCTGATACACAAGACTAGGTTTGGGAGATAGAGGTGTAACTTTATTCCTGACTGTAACACAGGTGGTGTGATCTCAATAAGCTGTTCAGCTGCTCCATTCGTAGAAACAGATCTAGGGGGTTGTTCAGATTAATGTCAGAATTACATATCTACATATACATCAACATAGCAGAGAATGCCTTACCAGGCAAATGTTATTTCTGAGGGGATTCTTTGAGGCTTGCAAAGTGAAGGATTGGCAGTGGTAGAATATGACAGTTTTAAATACTGTCTTTTAAACCCTGTTAAACTTCCTAGGCTGGAAGTCAGCTTTACATGTTTTTGGCATCTTGACCCCGAGGAACAAATATTTACCTGCAGGATAAGAAACAACTGCAGTAAAAAGCATGGTCAAGAATAGTCAGCATTGGAGCTCGGTTTTCACGGGTATGCAGCTGGTAAACCAGAGAGGACCTTCAGTGTCATACAGGTTATCAGTCAAGTCATGGAACACAAAATCTTCTGTGTACTGGAAGCCATGCTCCTAGCACATTGTTTCATCTCCCAGTGTTGTTCTGCCTGTCTCCAAAGCCTACCAGGCTGGAGTTGTCATTGCAGAGCTGTGCTCTGAGCGAGCAGGGAGCAGTGCCTGCATGCAGGCTGACTTCTCAGCCTCAGCAGTGGGACACATTTGTCCTGGGGAAAGACAGTGGCCCTTGCTTTCCTTTCTAGAGAAGATGCAAGCTGATGTGTGAACGAGCATCACTTGAATTATTTGTGAGTCTCAGGTCAGCTGCATTTTTCAGAGTAAAAGTAACTGTGAAAACCTATATGGCAAATGGAAGTAACTTTTTACTGAGGTCTGAACTTGCTCCAGTAGCAAGCTATTCCTCTTGGTGGCCAGCTCTCAAAATGAGGTGACAGTCATTTTTCCTTTTTTATGAAATTTTTATGATCCACATTGTAATGTCCCTGAGAGAAAAACACCCAAGCGAGTACCAGGACATCCAAAAGAGTGCATTTTAATACCAGCTCTGTAAAACCAACTACAACATCAATTAGACTTGATCTCTAAATTATCATTTGGATTATATTAATTCAGCACAGTGTATTTAAACACGGCTTCTGGGTAAATGGTACTACTATGAGCCTTTGAAGTAAAAATTAGGGTGCAAAGGAACTCTGGAAGGGTTGGGTGCATATCTGTTAGAAAGGGGATTTTTCAAAGCACCAAGTCCAGAGCAAGATCTAAACCATTGATAAAGGCTCATACAGCAGCGTGCCTCTGATTAGAAGTACCAGTGGGAGTACCACAAAAGCTTCATGTAGTCTGCTGTTTTAGCCTGAATAGGTTGGTGAGTGCTGGGGCCTGGTTACTCGAGAAAGAGCTGTTGCAATCACTGGGAATGGTACAAGTTCTGCTGCTTCTAATGTTGTCGGGCCATCGCCTTAAATGGAGCTGCTGCTTTATAGCTTTGAAAAGAATGAAGGGGATCAGCTTGGCACTGTAGCTCCATTGAGTTAACAAGTCCTCTATTCATATTCTTTTAACCCCTCTGTGCCTGTGTTTATATGCACCTGCTGTATGGCTTTAGCTGCTGCCTCTCAGCAGTATCTGCTGCCATTCAACTCCTCTGTTCCCAGGCACAGAGTCTCTCTGAGGGGGAGTTAACGTGGCAGAGGAGCACACTGGAGAACTCAAAACTCTTGCAGTAGTCAACAGCATTTAGCTCATGAGTGTGAATCAAAGGACTTGCCTAAGACCAAATTTGTTGCAGAGTTGAACTCTGTCCTCTGTTGTTATAATTTTGAAACACAATGATATTTAAAAATATTTCTTAAATTCCATTGTACTTGCATATGAAGATCCAGTGGTCACTCTTGAAATGTTTTCTCCTGAAGGAATGGTTTCTGCATCCAAGGAGAGTGTCTCGTATGTGCTGAATAACGAAGGAGGTGGCCATGCGTCCGTCATTGTGATCGGAGGAGCAGAGGAGTCTCTGAATGCACATCCTGGAAGTCTAACACTGAACATCCTCAAGAGGAAGGGCTTTATTAAAATGGCCCTGAAACATGGGTAGGTTTCCCATTTAGGCTGATATAGTAAGCATGCTTTGAATGCAGATTGATTCTTAAATATAGTTCATATTATATAAACTTAGAGACTTTGAAAGTTACTTGTCTAAGAACATGCAGATATCTGGCACAGGAGTGAGCCTGTCCACCTAGATCCTATCTGGGAGTGTTGAAAACTCCCTTTGACTTTCATAATTTGTAAACAGTAGGTGTTATTAGCATACATTTTGTTTCATTTGTTTCTTGCACTAGCAAAGTGTAAGAATTATGAAACAATATTAGTAAACCTTGGCTGGTTTTGCTGAGTAGAACAAACATTCTGTTGTCTGGTCTGTAAATGAAAGTTACATTAAGATAGACTTTTCTTATCAATTTAAGCAAACAAACAAATTGAAAAGCCAGGCCCTGTTTTACTAAATCTCTGAAAATCTGTGGTCGAGGAAGATCTGCTTTCACCGTTATTCTAAAGACTTCCTTTTGAAGATTGTTATTTGAAAAAGTAAGTTCCTGGGAATTTTTAGTGAAAAACTAGCTTACTTTTTATTATCAAGCAGCCATCAGTGTGTAACTAAACAGAGATGGTATTATCTTTTGAGTGATTTACATATTAGAAGCTATTGTGTTTGTTCTGGACTGGTCTAGATGGCTTGTATATTAGAAATATTGGAACCAATGACTTGTACCCGATAAGCTTTCTGAAAAGTTCCCAGGATTATATATTAACATGTGAAGCAATGAGAAAGAAATACTAGTCTTGAGAAATCTGTAACAGCTTTTTAAGCTATTAACTGGAAAAAGGTGGTCTACAAGAAGAGCTCTCTGTTTTCACACAGGATGCTAAGGTCTGTTCTAGAAACTGTTCTGTGTCAAAATTCCAAGAGAGTTTCTTATACATATGACTAGGAGACTCATAAAGGACCTGTTTGCCAATAGAAAGTAACATTTTAGTCTAATTTGCACCCAGAAACACCTCTTGTGTATTTGAATTAGAACTTTAGCACCTAAATGAGTCTTTATTCATTTTCTGCTCAGCTGCTGATTAATTCAGTGGGATCCTCAACACTCTCAGTAGCTTTTACTTGTTTTAACCATAAAATTTAGAAGAATAGTTAGGTGCCCTTTTTTTCTCTTTTTTTTTTTTGGCATGTTGATAAATGTCTGGTCTGTCAAATCACAAAGGCTGGTCATTATCTCTCATCTAAATTGATTTGGATTGAGAAATCAGATACACCTGGGCCTGTCGTGGCCTTGATTTCAAAAGCATCTCTAACACATAACAGGAAGATCAGGACACTTACAAAACAGAGGAATGGCTGCTGTGGGACAATATGACTCTAACAGAGCTCTTGCCCAAAGATTCTGCATCCATTAATTGCTTCGAGTTTTAATGTTTTGTTTCTAAAAAGTAACAAAATGTGAAGAAAGCTTCCAACTAATGTGGCAGTGAAAGGGTAAGGGAGGCTTGTGGGACATGGATGAGAAGAGCCACCTGCCATCAGTTCCTGTACACATTCCTGGTGCTCATGAACTGCAGCATCAAATACCAAGAGAGGAAGGGGCAATGCAGAAAGCTGTCCTCTCTGCCCCTGGCTTCTGTGCTGCCAGCACAGAGAAGCTGTGTTCCTCAGCTAGGAACTTGTCAAAAGTGGTCTGAATATGTCAGCAGAAGTCCTGCACTTCTGCAAAAGATATTGTGGTCCAAGGTAGTACAAATATCTGATATGAAGTGAAGAAATCTTAAAGACATGAAACAAACGGCGAATCAGCTGACTTATCTTTAGTTTCATAACCATAAGTTACTTATTTCTCTGTCTCAGCCTCCTACATAGCATCTTGCAAAAGCCTTCACCAGATTAAAACAAATCCCACAGTGTCAGGGTACTATTGCACCACACGATATTCCTGTTTGTCTTAGTGTTGGAGTAGAAAGTGGAGTTTTTACATGGCCACAGTAAGTACCAGGCTTTATAATATTTCCTTTACAGGTGGATGCTGATATGTGCTCCACTGGAGAAAGAAACTTCAAGCAGACACCAGTCAGAATAGTAGGTGGGAATGATAGTCTGTGTGAGTCCTCAGGCTAAAGAAGCTGTTGAAGCAGTTGATTTTTTTCTGTACTGGTGGGTTTTGATTGTCCACAGCATTTTCCTACCAGCTCTGTCCTCAGTGCATCCTCCATCCTCCTCAGGCATTCAGAGCCATGCAGAAATTCATCCTGACAATATTATAGCAATGCTGCTATTTTACACTAAGGTTTTCCTCAAAGATAACATGGACTGCATGGAGCTAAAATATAGAAGCTAAGACTTAAGTAAAGCAAATAAAACATCTATGAATCCTTCAGAGACTGCTTAGGATTACCCTGCTCTTTTTTTTCTCTAAACTCTGTAGAATATTTAATGAAACTAAGCATTATTCAAAAAGCATACTGCAGTCAAGGTTTTCAATATGATGGTGGGTTTACCTGCTGGAGACAACTGCACCGATTCCATCTACCCAAGTAGTTTGTCCTGGAGTCAGTGCCTTTCCTGCCAAGCCAATTCATGAACTGAATGAGAATTCATTAGGCTGTACAAGAGCCAAAGCGAGTTCATGTAATTTCTGTGGGTAGGATTTGACCTCTGGTAATAATGGATTAAGGCTGGTGTTTTCAAAGTCTGGAAGAAGCAGGATTTCACTGGGAACTGGACAGCAGAGGAGAACTTTGGCATTGCAGTCATGTCTGTGAGGATGTCTGTTTTTTATCATGGCTTTTAAGCTGAAATCAAGGGCATGCATTATGCCAGTCAAAAGACAAAGGCAAGCCAAGATCTGGTTTTGATGCCACCCAGCTGGGAGCATTATAAGGTTAGAAATGAGGCTTCTTTGCTTCCCAATGGAGAAAATGTAGTGCAGCAAGTGTGGACTTGCTGAAACAGAAGTGGATAAACTCGTACTTATGATATATACAATTACTCACTTTTATGATTACGAACAGTCATAACAAGTTGCAATAGGTACCAACCAAACACTGCCAAAAACTAGTTGCTAGTTGTATGCCTATCATTTTTTTTTTTAAACACAAACCACCCAAGGCATCAAAAAGCAGCTGCACATCAGAAGAGTTGAATGCCTGTTGCTGATGAAATCTAAAGCTGCTGAAGCTTTCTGTGCTGGGTATTGTGAAACTGTTTCCATGCTGCTGATGTGAACTGCAGTGTGAGTGCAGGCTGATGTGGGGTTCTCAGTGCCCTCTTTGTTTTACAGAGCTCATCTGGTTCCGGTGTTTTCCTTTGGGGAAAATGAACTATTCAAACAAGTTGCAAACCCCAAAGGCTCGTGGCTCAGAAACATACAGGAGAAGCTGCAAAAGATAATGGGCTTTGCTTTACCCCTGTTTCATGCTAGAGGAGTATTTCAATACAGTTTTGGCATAATACCTTACAGGCAACCTATTCATACTGTTGGTAAGTTCCCTGTGCCTTTTCTAATGTTTTTGCAAATGTTTAGAAATTCATCAGTGTGCTGCTTTATAAATTTGTTATAATAGAAAGAATTGATTATTGTGCATCTAAAACCAGTATGTGAGATTTAAACTATTTTTTTTTTTAATTGCTATCCTTCCCAGTTAAAAGGGGAGGTTTTCTTCTCCCTTTCCCCTTTCTGCCCTAGGCCATATCATACTCTTCATTCTCAGTTACTCCCAGGCTTCTATCCTTAGCAATCCACAAAGAAATGCAAGGGTTGTCCAGTCCATACCAGAGGGATGCCACGGCTCTCCAGCTGTTGCTGTGGATTCTGGATGCTGCAGTTATTATGTTAGAAGCCCAGAGCCTTAATTTCTTAGCTCTGCAGAGAAGTAACAGTTGGGTGATGCCACCACAGCAGTGCTCTGGGGCAAGGCTACTGGAAGGAACTTGTGTGGTCCTGACCTGGTGTTCATCAGGACAGAGGGAAAGATGGAGGAGGAAAGGGAGAGGGCACCTTGCAGCACCTCTGCCACAGCCCTTGGGCTTTGCAGGTCTTTAGGATGTTTCCTTCCCTTTTGGTTTTTTCCCCATGGGAAGATCCAGTCATGTTTACTTGTGAGTGTTCATGCCAAAACAGGCAGTTTGGAAGAGTGTTTTTCCCCAAAAGTTTTCATTACTGGTCATCTATTCTCACTGGAGTGAGGAACTGAATATATTTTTAATGGCTTTAACTAGTGCTATTGACAACCACACTTTTTTTAAAAAAAATTGATGCTGGGCATCATGCAAAAGCAATACTTCTCTGTCTTTATACTTTTTGACAAATAATGTTTTGCCAGATTCTGACTGGAGTGAGCTAATGAAGCCTTTTTCCAAAGAAAAGTAAATCAAGCTTTTCTGGTGTTCCACAAGGGACATTTAATGTGGCCCTCCCTTTAATGGAGGGATGATTTGATTTTAGTATGAAGCAAATAAAAACGTTTAAGACAAAAATGTATCTCTTATGTTAAATTTCATGCAGATCTGTGTTTTATCACTTCATGCAGTTAAATATTTTGAAAAGATTTAATTTTTAAAGCCCGCATTGTTCACAGGTAGGCTAAAAATGTCACTTATTTTAAAGCCAGAGAGTTAAGAAAGCATTGGAATGAGATGTATTGGACGACCTAAAATGTATTTTCTGCAATTTTTCCTTTGGCTGATGACATTGAGACTGTTCTGGAGCTTAAAATGTCTTAGTCTGAGTCAAATCATCATTGTAATATTTATTGCAAGTGCAGAGGTGGTCCCTGGCAAGAGCACAGGAGTGCTACAAATCAGCAAGACCAGAGTCTTGCAACAGAACCCATAAGATCTGATGAAATCCTTTACCTTTATCTTTCCTCATGTTTGAGAACTGTCACGATGTCCTTGTGTCCTTGGAGGTGTGTGGGTTATTCTTGGTATGGCTCAACATGGCTTGGAAAGCATTGGCTCTGCTCCTTAGAGCTGCAGAGTCACAGTGAGCTCTACCTGAGCCAGGTTCACAGATTGCAGAGTATGCTGAGTTGGAAGGGACCCACAAGGATCACCAGTTAGCTGTGTTGACAGCGTTTTACTCCTGGTTCAGAAGTCATGGATCCTAAAGCCATTCAGCTAAGCCAAGGTTTGTGCAGTCTGAGTGTTTTGGGCTTGAACAGTACTTGTGTTTTTCCTGAAAATTATTACTGCTTTTCAGAAATAGAAACAACTCTCAAATATCAAATTAAGCAGGTTTCTTAAAGCTGCACATTAAATTAGGGAGATGAGTGTAGTTTCTAATTCCACAAGAAATCTCCACTCTTGGGAGAAGAGGCTGTTGCAGAAGGGCTTGGGGTTTGTTTGCTGTTTCCAGTCTTGCTTCTGGAAATCCTGTATTGTATGTATATTGATTTCATACCCCCTAAGGTATTGCTCAATCCGGGGCTGGGTTCCCAGTCCTATCCACGTAAAGTCTGAATTTCAGCACCACACAGGGCCTGAGAGCTGTTGGCAGCTGAAGCTGCAGCAGGAAAATGCAGACTCAGCCTCTCTGTGGTTCTGGCTAGGCTTCCCTATAGTCAACACCATTCAATTTGAAGTGGCAACATCTCTTGAAAGGGATTTTCAGGTGCCTCTGGAAAAGCTCCTGGGGGTGCTTTTAACTCTCTGCTTTTCTACAGATTTTCTTTGTAATCCAGGTTTGGGTCTTGGTGCCTCCAGTGCCAGAACAGCTGTCAAAATCTGCAGTGATTGAACAACACAGGGAAGACTGAGATCATGGGAAGCTTCTCTTAGCACATCACAGGCTTTTTAACAATAGCTTTTTGTAGAGGAGGAGACTGCCCTCCGGACTTCCATGTTCCCTCTTGCTCTCGCTCGGATGGAGCAAGTAGCAGGCTTTGCAGTGCCTGGAGAACATTTTGGTTGCAATTACATTTGTGGGCAATGGATGGTTCAAAGACACCTTAGAGGGTCTGGGAGTTTACATGCTACCGTAGGCTGAGGTCACTGACAACATTTCTGGTGCAGTGATACCCATTCTGAAAAAAACTGGAAGGTAACTGTGTTTCCTGCAGTCCTGTTTTGTGACTGTGTGGTTGAGGGCACCACTGTTGTCTTAGGCATGTCCCACACACTGAATAGCTTTAGTATTCCCATCAGAACAGAAGACTGTGAGAAAGTACATTTTTTAAATACTATGTTGAACTTGTGGACAGCACATAACCCATGGGATTGTATCTTGAAGTGTAAACTGCTCCTTCAAGTTAGAACTAAATCCCCTTCTCACCTGCTCTTTTGCTGCCATACTGAAATGGTGGGGGTTTTAATTCATTTTACCTGAACTTCAGCAAAAGCAAGTGAAAAACAAGACCCAGGACTCAGGTTTGTGAAAGGCAGGATCAGGCCCCACGGCAAGAGAATTGTGCTGTGATTCTGCCATCTCCCTGGGAGCTGTGTAGCATCTGTTACAAGAGGAACAGTAATTCTAATTTAAAAGGGATATCAATGAAGCTAATGCTGCTGTTGTGTTTGATTTGCAGTGGGAAGCCCCATCCCTGTGAAACGGAACTTGAACCCCACCACTGAAGAGATTGATGAGCTACATGCATTGTATCTACAGAAACTAAGGCAATTGTTTGAAGAACACAAAAGAAATTATGGGATCCCTGAGCATAAATCTCTCATCTTCGAATAGCAAATTACAATTTGAAATTCCAAATCTCATGGAAAGAAACAGTATCTGCTGAAAGATATCTTTGTTACAATCCATATTTTGCAATCTGTAATTATCCTTATGCAAGGAATACTTTTAAGAAGGGATTATTAGATGATTTTTTGATTTTTATCTTATCCTTGGGGGGGGGGAAATCTTTGGGATATAAGCCTCGAAGCCAGTGCTGTTTTGAGTTGTCCTTTTAGGTTTATCTATACCAGAAATGCAAGTGAGACATCTCACACAGATCTTCTTACCACCATGGTACCTACCCATAGCTTGAGCACAGGAAATTGCCCCAGCATGAGATCATGAGCAGGAAAACTATAAACCCAAGAAGTCTTTGATTAGAAGTTAAGAGACTTTCCAGCATTTATCAAATGTGGCATCAGGTTGTTCTCTGAATCCCAGAAACCCCTGCTGCTCTTCCACAGAAACGAAGGTGTGTGTTTTCAGCAGATGGGTATTGTAAACCATTTACATGAGAATTCAAGAATAAATAGGAGCTTTCAGCCCTGAATGGGATATTGGCAAAGGTGGTTTGTCCGAGTTAGGAAGCAAAGCAAACCTTCTGTTTGGAGGAGAACAGTGTGTTGAGCTTTTGTGTGCGTGTGTGTGCTGAGTGGTGGGAAGCACTGAATGATGTGACTTTTCGGGACAATCTGTGTTTTGAATCATCTGTTTGATAGCTCCAGCTTCAGAGGAGATGGCAGGCACAGGACAGGAGAAGTGAGGGAATCATGTGAACTTTACGCCTTGTGCAAAGTAAAAATGATCTTATGTCAAGTGCTTGCACAGAAGGAAGGGGAGCCCCGTTTGCTCAGTCTAGTTCTGAATCTTCACCAAGGAAAATGTACTTGATAATGCCTTTTTCTTCCCCTCTGACAGATGTGGGGAAGTATGTGTAAAGCTGCTCTGCAGTGTGACACAGCTGCAATGCCAAGGCAGTGTGAGCACAGCTGTAGGGTGCAGCAGGTTAAGAGGAGGTTTTGTGTATAAACCAAGTACCTTAAGTTGTATCCTAAATGTGGATATCCATTTCAGAAAAAAGGAAAAAAATCCTAGCCAAACTGTTTTTCAGTTAAAATGCCTAGGTCTTGGAGATTACGGCGTGTGGAGAGAATTGTACTATATTACTGAACTTTTTATGAGATAAATTCTTGTGTTTGTACATACTTTCTATCTGCATGTGGACTTTGCAGATCTGATATTAATGAACAGTTTGTTTTGCTTTAAGCAGTTTTGGTGCCTGAATATGACATCGATTAGGTGCTCTGGCAAGTTGTGCACAGGGTTGTCAGGCAGCCTGGGGCATCTGCAGATGGTTCAGTTCAGCACTGGGATGCTCCAGGAATAGCAGGACTGGGCACATTGTGTACTTGCTGGGCTGGAGGCTTCTTAGAAGAAACACAGTTGGGACTTTGGGAACAAGGTAGAACTCTGTAAAGAAAGTATCTTAGCAAGATGAAAGTGTTTAAAGGAAAGAGTGGAAAGATCTCAACTCTGTTACAGAGTGAACTCCTAATGAACCAAAGCTCCAAAGCCAAACAAGTATTTGCCAGACAGAGCAGATGTATGTGTTCCAAAACCCCCCCCAGCAACACGTTGGTTTCCTTAGGAGAGCTCTTCCTTTTAGTGTATGGATGTAGGCAACAATGCGCCAGCGAATCCCGCTCTCATTTTCTCTTGGACAATAGAATCTTTCTGGGAACCAGGGCTGGAATTTGCACTGCCTGAAGAAGCCTCTCTTCCCTGACAGACTGCTGTAAATGTGCCCATAATTCACCTCTACTTGAGCTTTCTTGCTGCCATAAGTGTTTGCCCTCCCTTCCCATGCCTTTGCTGCCTGATGATCACTGTGGTGTAGGCATCTTACTTCCTCACTCTCTGTCCATCTTTCCCTGGGTTGAGATCTCTGGACTGTCTGTGCATACAAAATACTGAGTGGTGTCTTCTCATTCAGCAGAAATGGGTTTTAGGAACAGGGTTTGAGAAGAGGAAGCACTGTGACTGTACAGGTTTGACAGGAGTTTAAGATCAGGATTGTTTCAGCACTTGGAAGGACATGTTTCTGCGGAGGTGAAACACAGCAGGTTTTTCCTGGGTAGAGATCTGTAGGGTCCTAAGCATGGTACTAAGTGATGAGCCCTGAGCAGTCATTTTTCCTTAACCAGCTGTGTGAAATTTCCTTTGGATCTGTTTCTTTGCTGCCTGCCCTGATGAGTAGTGCTGATTATTCATGAAAGAAGAATTTGAAGTCCATGTCAGCCTGTTCTCTCCTAGATCATCTGCTCTAATGAGATGTTTCCTCTCATTCTCTGTTTGTTCTTTTTACATTACTTTATGATATAGAAGCTCAGGCTGTATGTAAATTTAAAAACATTAATGTTGAGGTTGAGGATGGGAAGTAACAATGGATTTTTGTTGATCAAATTAACCAAAACTTCTAGGGAATATGCATTATTTATTATTATTATTATAGTGATTTGGGGGCAATATCTGGTCCAGAGAGTACCTTAAAAACAGGCTTACCTGTGTTTTCCCTGAGAAAATTATCTGTGGGCTCTGAGTACCATCCATAACTGGCATAGGTAGAACAAGTAGGGACTGTGTTACTATGACTACTGATATTGTCATTGCTTTGTAACAGGGAGATGGAAAAAAGAAAAAAGGAAAACAAGATTTCCAAGCTACTTAAAAGTTTATTGTTGCTCAATAACTGCTGCCTATAGTTTATAATGGTCCTTCCAAAGTATCTTTTATTAACCATTTGTCTATAGGACTATTTTAAAATAGGATTTCCATCTCTAAACCTGTTAGACATGGCATCATCTAAAAATTTTACTGTGTTAGTGTGTGGATTTGTAAAGCAGACTCACAATACTGAGCTTAAAGGCCAGAGTCCTGGAAGCCAGAGACTCATTTTGGCCAGTGAAGGCACCAATCCCACCACTGCTGCAGCCACGAGGAGGCTGCCCATGTTTGTTGGAGTAACACAGTCTTCAGTTGCAGTTCGTGCTGGACAAAGCAAGAGCCAGTAGGAATGGTGACACCCCCTCCCCAGCTGTGACTAGAAGAATTGGGTAGTGCTTAGATTTCTGATGGGATGACCACACTGACTGGGGTCTGCTTCGTGGTGTGTTTCTCTTTGTGCCTTTTGATGCCATAGGTAATCCCAGGGAAGGGATTTTAATGCCACAGGTAATCCCATTGACAGAGATGCTCTGCCTCTATACCACGCAAACGCTGCTTCCCCAACGTGCTCAGGATAACAGTACCTGCCTGTTCCCTTGTGTGTGAACATCTCTGTGCCAAATTTTGTTTACAGAAAGTCAGTCCTCAAGTATTTTTACTTTGTGAACTACAAAGCATATTTTACACTTTGTAACTTTTTATGGTGCCTGTAAAATATGAACATCAATTGTTTCAATGATAGCTGTGGCAAGATGTGAGATAATAAAGGTTTGTATCAAAGTGGGCTTGTGTTGACTGAAATTCAGATATGTACCACTGCTCCTCAGGGGGTCTTATGTGCTCATAGCATGCTGAGAAATCAGGGGGGCAGGGAAGGTGGATGGATTGCTTGCTGCAGTCTCCTGAAGGATCACCAGAAACCAGGTTCCTGCTGGGGTTCCAAAGGATCTGAGGAACAAGTGACCCACAGCAGGGAAGGGCTGGGCTGCAGCAGCCCACAACCAGGAGCTCAATGCCAAAAGGGCACAACAGGGAAGCTAGAGCATGGGAAGGTGGGCAATCCCCTGAGGAGCTGGTGAAATAATAGTTTTTGGAGTTGAATTCAACTTCAGTTTTAAGACAAGTTTGAATTTTACATGAAACTTGCATCAAGGAGTCCAAATCTTAGTAACTGTACCCTAGAAAGAAGAACAAACCCTGCAGAGGCTCTGCTTAACTCTAGGAACTGGAGAACTAAATAGCTGTTGGAGTAAAAAATGTGTCTCATTTGTCTTTTGGGAAGAGGAAAACCACTCATAACAGTGATGTACTTGATGTTTGGGTTTTTTTAAGTAGGGCAATGTTACACAGCACTAACAGCTGCAGTGACAAGTGTGAATTCCAAAGCCTAGGAAAAGCTAATTGTATTTTGTTACTATTTTAGTACTTTCTTTGTGCAATGATCCCATCTTGCATCTCAGTATACTGTAAAGAGGAAAAATGGATAAAAAGTGGCATTGGATTGCTTTGAAGTAGTCCCATTATGTGTGTGCATGTGTAAATTGGAGGTGTGGCATGGTTCATCAATGGATCAAGATCACATCCTGGTTTTGCTGAAATACTAGAAAGAAGCATATTATACCTGTAAAGCAAGAAATGCAGAAAAACAAGGAATGGAGAGGAACTGGACATTCATGCTTCTCAAGGTGCTGCAGCAACACAAATCCTGATCTCAACTGCTTGTGACAGGTAAGTGATACAGTGATATTAAGATGGTTTTTCAACTGATGTTGCTTAAGCGTGGTATCACTTTCCTGTCAGCTGAACTGCTGGAGCAGTGCCTATAGTGCAGATCCCAGGAGAGCCTTGTTTTTTTCCAGTTTAACAGATAGAGTAGAGCTGCAGAAAAAGAAGAGAAGAAGACAAAAGAGAGGAAATTAATTTACTTAATGTAGTCACATGCTGGAGAAATACATCCATCTAAAAAAGTAGCTAAAAGAAGGTGAGGAACCATATCCTTTTTGGTTGCCTTCCATACAATAAGTTTCACAAATAGAGCAAGCTTGGGAAAAGCCTTTTGTGGTGCAAAGATGGAGAGCTTCCCTTAAAGCATGCTGGGATCAAGAGATACTTGTTACCCAGTTGGGCAGGCATCTAACCTGGATCCTTTTCCATCTTGGGCAGTACTAACAATTACAACTGTTAGGCAAGGGACATTTTCTGTTTGTGCAATTTATTTTCAGTTAAATTTCCTTCTGGCATGAATGGAGCCCCATTGCTTTTGGAATGGCTATGCTGAAATTTAATGAACAGACCAGGAACCTGGCATGTTGACTGTGAGCTTTTTTTTTTGGCTAACATGAGTTACTAGTGGTCTCATCTTTCCCTTCTGCAGTCAGCAAGCAGTATTTAATCGCAGAGAATAAGTGTGTTGAGTGGAAAATTCTCATTCTCCCTATTTGCAGAGCACAGATTGTCCTCTAGAGACACGAACTACAGTGTTTTCCTGGGGAAATTGCTTACGACTAAGCACGTAATAATATGGACATCTGTGTGCTTTAAAATGCGCTGGAAGTCCGCGTTAAAACAGAAGCCAGGTGGTTTATTTGTTGCTAAAATCTGTGCCGCTTCTCGTTTCGGTGGCAGTTTCTGTAAGTGCCTTTTAAGTTCGGGAAGGGCAGGAGGGGCTGGGCCGGGATGAGCCGTGCGGGCTCACGGAGCCCCATCGCCGCCAGGTGACGCCCGCGGCGCGTTGCGGGAGCGGCTCCGCACCCTCCGGGACCGGGATGCGGGGAGGAACCGGCAACCGGTCCTCATCTCCAGGGACAGGAGAGGGTGGGATGGATGCCCTTGAAATTCTGTCCCTGGATACCACGATTTAGGCATGTGCTCTCTCGCGCTTCTGGAGCGAGAGGGATGGAAGCGTGCCCTGTGCGCTCCGCGGTGCCGTGACTCCCTGCTCTGCTCGCTTCCAGAGCAGGAAGCCGGCGCAGGTGGGATGAGAGGCAACAGCGGGGGAGATGAGTTTGTCTTACTTCTCCTGCCTGCGGGAGTTGTGGGGCTGGCGGTTTGCTCAAGCTCTATGGAGCTAAAACACGCAGACTCTGCCTCCGGACTGCCCGGCTTTGGCGCGTTTGTTTTCTGCTCCGAGGAAGGTGCTGCTGCTCG